AAATGCTGCTGAAACGTGGACAGGGAGAGGCACCAGGGCTCATTCCAGTGTTATCCAACTCAGATTTTAACAAACTTGGGTTCTCCTGAGATGTCCTGGGAATTCCTGCAGAGGGGAGGACAGCTGGACACAAACAGGCACACACTGGGAGAGCACTCCAAGTGCCTTTGGAGCAGGTTTGGGTGAACCATGTGAACTTCCCACARCCAGGGAGATCCGAGGCAGTGACTAATTCCTCCTGGAACAGCAACAGCCTGGCTTTCCTGTTTATACGTGCAAGCCATGCATGAAGCTCAGTGATMCAGCAACAGCTCTCACCCCTGGGTGCCACAGATTGAATCCACACACACCTCTGCTCCAGCTGCTGGGTGATAAGGCACAGCACAAGTGTTTTACTTCTTCAGGAAGGAGTGAAAGTGCCTGGAGGCACGAGCCAGAGGTCCATTATCACCCATCCATGGTGCACCAGCACTCCAGCAGAGAGCTGACACTATTCCAACACATTCCCCATGCTGGAAAGGGGCAGCACACCCCTGCCAAACACCCACAGAGAACCTTTGCCAGGCTGCTGAGCGCTCACCTTGAATGGCCAGAGGCTGCTAAAACACCCTCAGAGTCAGAGAGACTCAAGCAAAAACACCCTCAGAGTCAGAGAGACTCGAGCAAACTCTGCCCCTGGTGAACCAAAGCACCAGCTCAGTGCCTGGAGAACGCCTGTCTGGGAGTGCTGTGATCCCAGGGATTCAGCAAAGGGGGTGAGCAAAGAATGCAACACAGAAGCTGCACAGAAGTGTCCCCAAGCCAAGGACAGCAGCACAGCCCAGCCCCAGCCATGGTCACACCCCAGGAGCTCCTGACACTCACCTGTCCACAGCCTCCACGTCAAAGCAGAACCTCTTCTCGATGGAGTCGGTTTTGCGCCGCGTGCAGGATTTCAGGGTGACAGCTTCATCCTCCCCCTGAGAACAGACAGAACCACGGTGAGCCCAACAGCAACCAACAACCACGGGGTGACCCCAGCACCCAGTGCTGCCAGTGAGGGGATTCAAACCTGGGGGGTCCAGCAATATCTGGATCAACCCTGCTAAAAACATCTGTTTATATCTCTGACACGGGATTTGTCTTTTCACCCTTGTTTAGGCCAAAATCTTCCAGGAGGAGCCTTCCCTTCAGGATGCCCACGATTCAATCTGTGCTTTAAGCACCACACAACCCATTCTTCATGTGGGCAGGGAGTGCTGGACCACAACTTTTGGGCAAAATCAGCTTTATTTTCCATTGCTGAACACTCCACACTGGCAGTTTGCACTCCACGCTGTGYTTTTGGCAGCATTCTGCACACGAGGACTCTTAACAGGAGCAAACACGTCTAAAAATGTTTATTATATAACGAGGCAATGACAAAACCGTTCTCCCATCCAGAGAATCCTCCCTGCATCCAAGCTGTGCTGGGTTTCCACAGCACTGGATCTGTGTGCACTGCTGTCCTCTGCTGGAGGAAATCCTTCCTCAGCCCCTGCCAGCACCCACAGCTCTCCTGYCACTGTGAAATTCCACTGATGACTTCAGAGAAAATGAATTCTGAAGGAGTTCCTGGAGACAGACACTCACTCTTCTGGGCTCTCTGTGCTGTTCCTGATGACACCCTGGCTGACCACCCTGTTCCCTGACATCACCATTCTTCCAGGAAACATATTTAGGATCACTTAGATTGGAAAAGACCTCTAAAACCACAAAGTCCAAAAGATCTCAGAACAACCAAGCCCACCACTAATCCCTGTYCTCAYGTGCCACAATCACATGTCCATTAAATCCCTCCAGGGAGGGCGACTCCCCARTTCTCATCCATAAACACTCCTCCCCTGGCACCTGCTCCAGCCAGACCCCAAATTCCCAGCAGTGCAGCCACAAGGTCAGATGTCCATAGTGGCATCACTGACAGACCCTGGAGCTCAGCCAGAGCTGTCCCAGCACAGGCAGAGTTTCATTTCATGCCAGGGTGGTGCMAGCACAGCCCTGGGCAGGGGCTCCAGCACGGTGTCAGACAGCTCTGGGTGCTGCTCCCACACCCCTGGGTGCAGGGGGAACCCTGAAGTTTCCCTGAAATGGGAACAGAGCAGAACAAACACAGCGCAGCCACTGATGATTACAGAGCTGGGATATGTTAATGCTGAGCTATAATGGAGATGCTCCAAGGCAAGAGGAAATTAATTTTAGAAGCTTCCCTGCCCACAGCCGGCTCCCTGTGCCAGCAGGAAGCTGTGTGGGAGCCTGTCCAGCTGCCCCAGGCAGTCCCCASTGTGGGGATTGTCCCAGCTGGGAACACTGGGGAGGGCTCCGTTGTTCCTGCTGCCCAGAGGAGCAAAGCCAGCCCTGGACACAGCCCTGGGGACACAGCATCAGCTGGCTCCCCCCACTCCTCACACCCCTCGGGGCCAAGGGGAGCGCCAGGCTCTGCTGTGGCTCTGTGCAAAACAAAACAACTCCATTGGCCATGGCACAGATCATCAGAGACTCTCAGAATGGTTTGGGTGGGACGGGAACTGAGAGCTCAT